GCCCCAAGACAGCTCAGGAGAGCCCCAAATTGCCCAGGAGGCCTCCAAGAGTGCTTCGAGACGGCGCAAGAGGAGCCCTGGACGGCCCAAGACGGCCTCAAGAGAGCCCCAACTGTCCCAAGAAAGCCTCTGGCCTCCTCCTCCTCCTCCTCCTCCTCCTCCTCCTCCTCCTCCTCCTCCTCCTCCTCCTCCTCCTCCTCCCCCCCCTGGCTCCCCCTCCTCCTGCTCTCCTCTGCCTCCTTCTCCTCCTCTTGCTTCTCCTCCACATCCTTCTCTCCCCCCTCCTCCTCCCCCATCCACTTCCTCCACCCTTCCTCCACCTCCCACTCATCCTCCCCTTGCCCACCCCTCGTTTTCATCTTCGTCGTTCTCAGGGTCAGTGGCACCGACCGTAAGGCCTTCGCAATATACGATGTCCTCCGACCAGCCCTCTGACTTTGGGTGGTATAGAGAATTCTTTCCTCTCTATCCTGAAATCCCTTCTTCCCCTTCGGGATGGGTGTACTTTGCCCCCTACCTCCTCCTAAGATCTGGACGCCCACCCCCCCGCCCTCGCGAGGTGGTAGACCCTTTGAGGCCCAAGATGGGTCCGAGAGGGCCCCCGATGCTCCAAACATGATCCAGGAAAGCTTTTGACATTTCTTCCAGAGTTCCCAGGATGGCCCCAAGACGGCCCCAAGAGCCCCTGGGGTCCCTCAATGATCCCTCGAATAAGCCCCAACCCTTCAAACACACTGTGCGTTTCAATGTGTTCTGCAGTCTCGCCTGCTCGCTTTCGATGGGCCTCTCAGGCCTCAAAATGACCCCAAGATGGCCCAAGAGAGCCAACGAGGGATCCAAGAGGGCCCCAAGACGGCCCTAAGAGCGCCCAAGGGTGTCCTAAGAGGACCCCCCAAGGCAATTGACCTGCCTCCGAAGGGGGGACCTAATTTCTGGGACCCGCTGTTTTGATCGCTGGTCTCCAGGATAGCCTCATGGGCCTCAAGAGGCCCTCCAGCCCCCTAAGAGTTCGCCAAGAAAGCCCAAAGAAGGCACCAAAGACCCAAGAGAACCCAAAAGGCTTGCAAGATGGCTTCAAGCGGCTCCCCCGAGTCTCTAGCTGCACCCTTGATGGCATCTCGGCTTCACTGTATGCTTACCTACGCCGTCCTCCAGACAGCTCTCGTGAGCGTAGCTTCTGGACGAGCTGGTTGGGATATGCGCAAGAATGCACCAAGAGATCCGCGCTCATACGCTGTTCGCGCGGCGGACACACCACCGGGCCTCGTCACCACCAGGCCTCCTGTTGCTCCTCCACCCCCTCTTCTCCCTGACCGCCTCACTGGGCGGTCGCTGGGCCTGTGCGAGCCCCGCCTGCGGGAGTGGCCCACGAGGCCCGCCTTCTGAAACCACCCGGGTCTAACTTTCTGCTGCGCGTGATGTGTAGCCACTCCAGGATCCTGTGGTTCTTGCCTGCGCCTATGCCTCTTCAAATCAACGAGGCCTCGAACTTGAGGCCCATCTTCGCGTTGCCCGTGAGCGTCTGCAGCCACACCTGCGGCGCAAACGCGTGGGAGGAGCAGGATGACGATGTGGATGGGAAGGGGAAAATGTATGCTTCCGCCCTCCCATCTCCCGCCCTCCTCATCCTCCTCCTCGTCCTAGCGAACGAGGTCGGCGGCACCGACCGCCAGGCCTTCGCGATATGTTGCCGCTGGCACCCTGGTGGTCTGGCGCCGCCCACCCGGGTGTTGAGAAACATCTCCTCGATGGGCAGCCCCCTCCCCGTGGCGGGTTTGAAACCTCTGGCCGACACGCCTGGCCCTGGTAGACACCAGACCTAAGACGGGTCTGGTGCTGCAGGAGGCGGAGGATGAGCAGCAGGGGGGGCATGCGAAGACGAAAGAAGGAGTACACAGCCCAAGGGGATTACATGCGAAGAAGAAAGGAGGAGGTGGAGGAGGGACGAGGATAACGATGAGGAATGGCAGGAGGACGGAAGGGGGCGGGGATCTATGAGGAAGGGACGACGATGATGACATGAAGAGGTCGAGCGCATGGAGGATGGATCATTGCCAGATTCGGTGCCCGTGTGTCAGGCGCCTCATCCTTGCGAAGGTCGCGTAAGACGAGTGGAGAATGAGGAGGACGAGAAGGAGGAAAAAGGAGAGGGTGGGCAGGTGGGAGGTGGGAGGAGGAGGGAGGACAAGGAGGCCGTGGACGGGCGGCGGCGGTCGCGCCGGCGAGGTGGACAACTCCGTCGCCGCCGCGGCACTGCCGCCCAGGCACCGCGGGTCCTGGCGGCGGCCATCCATCCCTCGCCCTCGCTCCTGCCTTTGCCGATGCGCCTAGTCCGCTGCCTCGTGCCCCCTGCTAGTCATCTGCAGCATCATCGTCATCATCACCACCCTGGTCATCGTCATCGCCACCGTCACCATCGCCCAAGGGCTCATCATCGTCGACATCCCCATCGGATCGTCACCGTCAATCTTGGCATCGGCATGACAGTCATCATCACCATTGTCACCTTCATCGTCATGAGCGCCATGATCATCATCAACATCAGCATCGTCATCATCACCATCATCACCATCATCACCATCATCACCATCATCATCATCATCTTCATCATCTTCATCATCATCGTCATCTTCATCATCATTATCATCATCATCATCATCATGATCATCATCATCATCATCATCATCATCTTCTTCATCATCATCATCATCAACACCATCATCACCACCATCATCATCCCCGCCTGCTCTTCCTCTCCCCTCCCCCATGAATCCTCGTCCGGCTCCTCTTCCTCTCCTACTGTTGCTGGTTCTGCTCTCCGTGCTTTCATTTTCTCCGCATGCCCCTCCTCTTTCTGGTTCCCCTCTTTCGCTCTCTGTTCCTCCTCTTCCTCCTCGAAAAGCTATGCTCTCCTCTCCTTCTAAAGTCTCCTCCTCCTCCTCCTATGATCTTATATCGCGGGTCCTACAAAACTGGCGTATAGACCTGTCTCTGGCCGTATAGCTGGATTCGCCACTGGACGGCGAAACTCGAAGATGTCACATGCCCCCCTCGGCGACTGCTGCTAAAGTCCAATGCCAATTCTCCTCCTACTGCCCTCCTCCTTCTCTTCGATGACCCTCCCTCTCCTCGAGATTCCTCTCCGTCTCCTTCCTCTCCCCATCGTCCTCTCCTCTCCGCACCTCGTCTCACCGTTACAGCATCATCATCACCAGATCAGCATCATCATCATCATCATCATCATCATCATCATCATCATCAGATCACCATCGTCAGATCACCATCACCATCAGAAGCAGCACAAGCAGCAGCAGTCGCGGTAGCATCAGCATCAGCATCATCATTGCTATCGACGTCCTCATCAGTAGCATGAGCATCAGCATTAGCATCAGCATGGTCATAATCACCCATTCATTATCATCGTCATCGTCATGACAATTGCAGTCATCCTTATCATCCCCCTCATCCTGATCCTGATCATCATGATCATGCTCATCCTCCTCCGCATCCTCCTCCTCGTCATCATCATCACCATCAAACTCATCATCAAACTCATCATCATCTCCATCATCATCATCATCATCATCATCATCATCATCATCATCATCATCATAATCATCACCATCATCATCGCAAACACTATGGCCGTCACACTCATCACCATCATCATCATCCTCCTCACCATCATCAGCGTCAGCATCACCACCAACATCATATGAACCATCACCATCGCCATAACAATTACCATTGCCATCATTACTGTCACCGTCACCAATATCATCTTCATCATCGCCACCAACATCATCATCACCATCACAATCATTATCCATACCACCATCAGCATCATCGTCACCGTCGTCGTCACCATTATCACTACCATCACGATCATCACCATTGTCATCATCACTATCACCACCATCATCACCATAGTCATCACCACCAGCATCATCATCATCAGCAGCAACAACAGCATCAGCATCAGCATCAGTTTTATCAGAATCAGCATCACAATCACCATCATCATCACCATAGTCATCACCACCAGCATCATCAGCAGAAATACCATCATCCTTATCATCATCATCATCATCACCATCACCATCACCATCATCATCATCATCATCATCATCATCATCATCATCATCATCATCAGCATCATCACATTCATCATCATTCTCATCAGCATAATTATCATCGACATCAGCATCGCCATCATCGTCATCATCAGCATCAGCGTCATCCTCATCCTCATCCTCATCATCATCAGCAACATCATAATCATCATCATCATCATCATCATCATCATCATCATCATCATCATCATCGTCTTCACCCCTCGTTTGGGTCACCCCCCACTGCCACCAGCCAGAGAGGCTCAAGAAACTCTCTAACTTCTGACCGATGTTGTCGGCTAGATGGCCCCGGAACACGGGGTAGGGGTGTCCGCCGCACCTTCGCCCTCTCCAATGACCCCCAACTCCCTCTCCTCCAGAGCCGGGCACTGCTGAATGCAAGCCCTGCGGGTGGCAGCGGAAACAAGCCGTCTGCACCATCCCCGCTGCCTGCAGCCGGCAGGCGTAAGACGAAGCCAGGAAGAGGACAAAATCCCGTGAAAAGAAGTCGAGAACCTCTGAGATCCGGCGACGCAGAAGGATATCTCGGGCGCCGCGGCCTTCTCAGAGCGTTCCAGAACGCTCTGGAACGGATTCAGCCTCGTCCTGGCCCGTCCTGCCCTTGAAAGAGAAGCGCCCGACCCGCGTCCGGGACAATTGGGATCTGTGCGACGGCAGGCCTCGACTGCACTAACGTCTCGGGCCCTCCGCCCCCCTCCTGGTCTCCTCCCCCCCATGCAGGCATCCCCCTGGCCACGGCTGCTGAGAGGTACGGCAACGCTCACACTTGAGGAGGGGGCAGGAGGACGGAAGAAGGAGGGAGGCAAGAATCAACTTTTCACTCCCCCTCCTCCTCCTCCTCCTCATCCTCCTCTTCATCTGCATCCTCCCACTTGCGATCCACAAAATGTGTGATTTTTGGTCCGAAGGCCAGGTCTCTTGAGCTTGAGCGACAAAGTGGTGCAACATTGCATGGCTGCTCAGCGCAATCTCTGCGGCATCAGATATGCAAGAAGCACTGAGGTAACCTTCGCACTCAAATGCATGAGTCACAGGTGCCATCGCGGTCGTATTTCTGAGGTCCCATCACGATCTACCAGGTCAGACAATTCCTCGTCCGAGGTGCTATCTTGCTGGAGAATTTTCGCATGCATACGGACGGCTGCGAATCTTGCATCGTCCTCCTACCTGTCCCGCCCTTCCTCGTCATGCTCCTGCTCTTGACTGCTCTCTTTCCTGCTAGTCGAGCCTCGCGTTTCCGACGCCATCAAGACATGTACTCGCAAGCAGAATCTGGCCTCCACCCCTTCCTGTCTCTCATTCCACATACCCCATTCTGGCTTCCCTCCCTCCTCCAGCTCCTCCCACCTCCATTCGTCCCCTCCCCTGCCTCCTCCCGCCGGGAGCCACACAAGCCGCCAATGCAACGCAGCAAGATTCGGCAGAATATTTGCCAGGAGCAGACCAGGCGCGAAGGAAGGGAGAGAGGAGGGAGGAATGAAGCAGAACATGCCCGGGCCCCTCCCTTACCCCCACCCCCTTAGCATGGGGGAACGCAGCCCTGGAGAACACGGGCCCTGGACCTCGGGACTCTCCCCAGGACAAGCGCTCAATCCTGAGCCGTTGATTGACTGTCCCAAGGCCCTGGAGTGGGGAGACCAAAAGGTACCGATAGCGCTGCTCCCCGGACCTCTCCTGCGTTGCCTTCTGACCAGAAGTTCGAGGCGAATCCAGCGGTGACGACGAAAGCCTCCCAGGAGGCCGAACAAGTGGAAAACGAGGGAAGGGTAGAGGAATGGGTACATGTTCCTTCTCTGATGAAGGGCCCCGGAGCCCGAGAACGCCCTCATGTCAGCCCTCCCTGGAGGAATCCAAAGGGTACTGATGCCGCTCTCCCCGGACCTCTCCCGGGGTGCGCTCCGCCGAAGATGTTTCGAGCCGCATCCAGCAGAGGCGACCGGGGAAGGCTAGCGGTGTCGGTACTAGTGCCCTGTCTAGGAGGAGGAGGAGGATGAAGAGGAGGAGGAGGAGGAGGAGGAGGAGGAGGAGGAGGAGGAGGAAAAGGAGGAGGACGACGACGAAGAGGAAGAGGAGGCCCCTGACTCCCCCCTCCCCCCCTCCGTTCGGACGCCCGAGATAGTTACGGGAAAAACGGGCACGATGCCAAATAATGACAATCAATGTAATCCAAAATCGACCGCGGTCGCTGCTGGCCAGGCGACCTTCTGTGTCAAATGGACAACGGCGGCGGCGACACCGATAGCGAGTCCTGCCCAAACTGAACAGGAACTGCAGTCGGCCCTCGTACCTATACGATCACCTTTCGGGTTATAGGGAGGTAACACCCACTGACAACAACTGCGATGACTGTGGTGGCGATGACATGGCGACATTGCACGATGACACTGATGGTGAGAATAAACAATGGTGACTGACATGAAGGCGACACAGCCGCGATGGGGTTCACACCACATACGTGCGACCTCGCATTCGACTCCAAACTGGTTTCGCAATCGATCTCACCATCGATCTGAGTATCGATAGCACCACCGATCTCACTATCGCGCTCGATATCGCTCGCAATATCAATCCCATCATCGATCCCACTGTCGATCTCACAAGAGATCTCACTATCAACCTCACAAGAGATCTCACGAGACACCATCGGGACACCACGATGGGCCCCCCCGCCACGACGGGGCACCCCTATCGATCTCACGAGCGATCTCTTGATCTCACTTTCACGATCGATCACATTATCGATCCCACTATCGATGAAAGAGCGTGTTCTACCGCTGCTGGCGGAAAACCGGGGGGGGTCACTACCGGTTCGAACCCCTCCCCCCCCCCCCCCCCCCCCCTCCGGAAAACCGGGGGGGGTCACTACCGGTTCGCACCCCTCCCCCCCCCCCCCTCATCATGAAAAGGGGGGGTCACTACCGGTTCGAACCCCCCCCCCCCTCTCGAAAACCCAGTGGGGGTGCGGACAGAGGTGGGGACGGTGTTGGTGGGACAGTGGTGAGGGGATAGCGGGACAGTGGTGGGGACAGTGGGACAGTGGGACAGTGGTGGGGACGGTAGTGGTGGGGACAGTGGTGGGGACAATGGTGGGAACAGGGGGGGACAGTGGACAGTGGTGGTGACGGTGGTGGTGGGGACAGTGGTGTGGGGACAATGGGAATGAGGTGGAAACAGTGGGACAGTGGAGGGTACAATGGTGGTGGGGACAGTGGTGAAGGCGGTGGCGAGGACGGCGGTGGGACAATGGGACAGAGGTACAGTGGGGACAGTGGTGGGGAAAGTGGGGACAGTGGTGGGAACAGTGGGACAGCTCAGTGGGACAGCGGAGGAGTCAGTGGGACAGTGGGGACAGTGGGGATAGTCGGGCAGTGGTTGGGGCCGTGGAGACAGTGGGGAGAGTGGAACCGTGGTGGGAACAGTGCTGGGGACAGCGGGGACAGTGCGACAGTGGTGGGGCCACTGGTGGGGACAGTAGGGGCGGTGGTGGAACCAGTGGGGACAGCGGTGGTGAGGACAGTGGTGCTGGGAACACCAGTGGGGGATGTGATGCGGACGGTGGTGGGGACCGGGAGTCGTTTGCTGGCGGTGAGTAGGGGGGGGGGGGGGGGGGAAGGGGGGGTGCGAACCGGTAGTGACCCCCCCAGTTTTCCGGATCCGGAGGGTAGGGGGGGGGGGGGGGGGGGGGGGGGGGGTTCGAACCGGTAGTGACCCCCCCGGTTTTCGAGCGGGAGGGGGGGGGGGGGGGGGGTTAGGGGAGGGGGGGGTTTTGCCGGGGGAGGGGGGGGGGGGGGGGGGAGGGGTTCCAGCAGGGGGGGGGGGGATTTTCGGAGGGGGGGGGGGGGGGGACCCCCGGGTTCCGGAGGAAAAGGTTGGCAATTTTCCACAGTAAAGCGGCGGTGGATCACGCTCTCTCGATATCACTATCGATATCGATCTCACAACTGATATCACGAGCTACCATGGAGACGCCACGGCGGGACACCGTGAGCTACCGTCGGGACACCCCGCGCCACCGACGGGGCAACCCGCGCCACCGACGGGGCACCCCGGCGCCACCGACGGGACACCTCCAGCCACCGCGCGCGCGGGTGGGGGCGGACAACCGGCTCCAGTCCCTAGCCACGGCGGCATCACTCCCCTCGCGCGACCACGCAGCTTCGCTTCGCCCGCACGCACGACGCGAACACGAAACCGAAGCCGAGTTCCTGGTGGGGGGGCCCTGCGTTCCACTGTGATATCACCCCCCAACCTTCGACACTGGATGGGGCAATGATCGCCCCAACCCCTTCCCTGGATCCGCTGGGGGGGTTGGGCACGTGCTGCTGGAACCGTTGGAGAGGTGGTTGGAGGAGGAGGAGGAGGAGGAGGAGGAGGAGGAGGAGGAGGAGGAGGAGAAAGCCCCTGTGGCTCAGGCGTCTGCCTGAGGAGGGGCCATTCGCTTGCACGTGCGAGCCGCTGTTCTCCCCCCTTGCCCCTCGCGCCGCCATGGTCTCAGCAGCCAGGCTCCATTGGATCATCCAGGAGCTAGCGAATGGCCGCCAAGGTGCTGTCAAAATGTGCAGCCACAGCGACAAGCTGATCATGCAGATCTGCCTGTTCCCCGTCTGGGAGCCGACTATGCGGAACAGCCTCATGATAAGTTTGCTCCACATGGTGCAGCTGGACATCGACAGCGCTAGTATCGTGGACCACGGGCACAAGAACTCCAAAGGCGAGTCCCACATCCGTCTTGTCGTGAAGCCCCTTCCGGTTTTCTTCGGAGGCTTTTCTGATACGCCGCCGGACACGCGTTCAGCGGTGCAGGAGGGCTCCGAGCGCCAGACGCACGCCGAGTCCATCGGGCCAGTCCTGGCGCACGAGAAGGATGAGTCGTCCAGCGTGCAGCTTCCCGGTGAAGGTGGCGCGACTGGCTCGGGCTCTGTGGCGATGGAGAGCGAACCCTGTGCCAAGGCGGAGACTGATATTGACGTGGTGAGGCCCCAGCGGCACGGAAAGGCCATTGTTCCTCAGCAGCAAAGCGAGAAGCACACATTCGTTCCAGGCATGGCCGCGCGCCTTGTTGGCCTCAAGGCTAGGCCGCTGCTAAATGGTCGTGAAGGCACCCTGTGCTTCTACGACGACGCTGCTGACCGCTGGGCCTTTAAGACTGGTGCGGAGGCCATTCGTGTCAAGGCATCTTGTCTTGAGCCTATCGGCTCCCATACGAAAAAGTCTCTCGGCATGGCGTTCCAAAAGGCCGCTTTCGAGTGCCAACATGTGGACCCAGTTGCTAACGACCAGGTGTTCCAGATATTCTACGACCTCGCTGCTCAAGAAGGGCAGCCTGGGGTGGCCGCTGTATTCCTACCGTTGCTCAGCGACAAGACAGCCTTCGACAAGATGTACTGCCACACGGCCGCCAGGAGTCCTGAGATCGTCTACCAGTGAGTGGCGCTTAGCTGCATTCTTGGTGCGCCTAGTGCCTCCATTCTTGTGCCCCCATTCGCCATTCCTTGCGCCCCACGTCGTCCGTTGGGTTGCGCTTCTCGTCATGGCTGCTGGCGCCCCCATGTACGTTGGGGCTGCGCTTCCCGCCTAAGGTCCTGGTTTCATGTGCTACTCGTTCCTTCGGGCGAGTGCAGTGTTGCCAGGTCTTGCGGGCGAGATTCGGCTGCGTCTCTCGTGCGCGTTGCTGCTCTCCTCGTCCCCCGCTATACTTGCGGCCTATCTCACCGCTGACGTATGCATGTGTGGACACCTCAGACATAGGTCCCTCAGGGCTGTGGGAAGAAAGAAAGGAGGAGGAGGAGGAGACGGCGGAGGCGGCGGAGGAGGAGGAGGAGGAACAGGAGGAGAAGGAAGAGGAGGTGGAGGAGGAGGATATGGAGGACATGGAGGAGGAGGAGGAGGAGGAGGAGGAGGAGGAGGAGGAGGAGGAGGAGGAGAGGGGCAGGAGGGGGAGGAGGGGAAGGAGGGGGAGGAGGGAGGAGGATGGATCGGGGGGGGGGGGGGGGCAAGATCCGTCGCAAGGTCAATCCCCCCCCGTGAGAAAAATACCCCGTCCAGAGTTGCCGCGGACCCATCTCGTTCGTGCGGGCCACTCCACTCCGACGGAAAACAACCCGTCCTCGCCGACGAACCATGTCGTTCGCCAGCCGTGGGTTGCGAGCGTCCTTCTCCCACTGAGGGAAAAAAGCGGCGGATGTCATGGATCGGCGCTGGACCCTCCCATCCCTGGCGCGTGAAGCGCGCCATGGGCGGCGCCGCCACCAGGGGACCCAGCGCCGATTCAAGAAATCCGTACGGACCGTCGAACATGTCTGCTCATCCCGCTGTTTCTTCCTCGATCTCCGTGCCCATCTCGCCCGAGCCATCCTCCGCCCATTTCAACCACTTCGCTCGTGGGCATCGTTTACCCGACCCCATGGGCGTTGCCTGGGTCCCGCTGGCCGATTTACCCCCCTAGATAGGGATCTACGCCGCCCCCTTCGGGGTTCGAGGGGTAGATCCCCGACCGGGGTGCTGAGATGGCGGGGGTCTGGATGGGGATGGGGATGAGGATGGGGATGGGGATAGGGGTCGGTTCAACGATACTCTGAACTTCTATTGAATTCACGGGGGGGTGGACCACCCTCCCCTGGCACGCCCGTGGACGCGCCACGGCCAACGACCCCTGGCACGCAGCGACCAACTCCAACCCCCCGCCACCCCCGCGGACACGCCACGGCCATCCATGGCCATCCCCCCTGGCACTCCAAGTGGGGGACGATTACTTCAAGAGCCACAGTACTGAGCTCGTGCACATCTTCGGCGGCGAGCGAGGGGGGAGGAGTGCGGAGAAGGCCTTCTCAGAAGGCGGCGGGACTTCTCAGAAGCCCTCGCGCCTTCCGAGAGGTGTCCTGTGCCTTCGCGGAAGGCCCACAACACTCCCCCGAAGGCTGGGGGTCTCCGCGCCTCCTGCGAAGTCCCGCTCCCCCTCTCGAGAGGGGGAGCGGGCCTTCACAGGATGCGAGAGGGAGGGCTCTCCCTCCCTCCCCCTCCCCCTTCGCCCGCCGCCGACATTCTCTCCGTGCCCACGTTTTTTTGCTCCCTCAGCGCCCCGCCCCGGGAGCCGCCCACCCTGCCCCCCCCCTTCGTCTGGGCGCCCGAAAAGGATCCACAAAGTAGCTGGCACGATGCCCGAGAGCAAATGGGATCCAAACTCGACAGCGGCCGCTGCTGGGCAGGCGGCCTCCTGCCCAAAAAACGGACAACGTCCGCAGCGGGGCAGACAGCGAGACCGGTTCAAGATGTACGGGAGCTGCTGTTGGGCATCGTACCCATGCTTTCCGTACCCATTTTGCTCGTGCCGCTTCCAGAGCACGGCCCCGGGGCCCGGCGAGGGCCCCCCGAGGCCGACAACACTGCAACCAAACCGCCGCACGGAGCGCTCCCACACGCCGGAGGCCCTGACCGACGGCGTGCTCGTGGCCGTCTCGCTCGCGCCGAGCGCAGGCACCGCGCCGCGCCGCTCGAACGCGCCGCGCCGCACCGCAGGCAGAGCGCTCGCTCGCTCGAACGCGCCGCGCCCGCGCCCAGCGGGCGAAGGCCCCCGCCCGGGGGCCCCCGCTGGCCGGGGCGGAGCCGCGGCGGGTCGCCGCGCCACGCCCGGGGAGGGGGGGGGAGCGAGGGAGGAGGGGCGGAGCCGACGGAGGCAGGAGGATGGAGGGAGGAGGAGGGAGGAGGAGGGAGGAGGAGGGAGGAGGGAGGAGGGAGGAAAAGGGAGGATGGAGGGAGGAGGGAGGGAGGGAGGAGGGAGGAGGAGGGAGGAGAGAGAAGGCAGGAGGGAGGAGGGAAGGAAGGGGGGCAGGCCCTGCTCTCAGGTCAGGAAAGGGTGCGCCAGGACCTGGTCGACGGTCAGGCGCGCGGCTGGGTCGAGCCGCAGCAGGCCCCGCACCATGTCCTTGGCCTCCGCGGAGCAGTGGGCCAGGCGGGCCTCGAGAGGCGAGGCGGGGATCGACAGTCGACCCGTATGATAAGGACGCACGATGCAGTAGGAGCTCGACCACCAGAAATCTTCCACAAGAGACCCAACCCTGCGACCCCAGGACGTCCTTTGGTTTTTGGTGTGGGTATGTCACGCTTTCCATCGCAAAACCATCGAGACTCAAGAAACCCAGGGCAACCTGGAGACGAGCAGGGTGTTTCTTGGCATGGGCTTCCACTGTAAGGATGTAAGTGTCGTGGAAGGCCATGTCGAAGCTTTTCGAGCGGGGCGCGGCCAGCGAAAGTGGCCAAGGATAGACCGAGGAGGCAAGGATGCCCTTGGGACGGCTGCCCCTCCTTACTATACGGGCTGACTGTATATATCCATATCCACTGCCTGGGAGCCGACGTCCTGGGGACCCAGCGGGAGGTGGACCTGGAGACGGGCCCCCGGGGAGCCAAAATATATGCATATCCACTGCCTGCGGAATTCCGCGAAAATTCATCCTCTGGGCGGTGGTTGTGTGCAAATTCCAGCCTCGAATGAATGGAAAAACAAAACAAACCAAAAGCAGAGTCAGCACAGAGCAACTGCACACATGCAATGGGCATGAGCTTTAGGGGCGCCGCGCGGGTTTCTCGGATCGGCGCCGGGCCCCCCTGGCGCGCTCCGCGTGCCAGGGTGGGGGAGGGGGCAGCGTCGATCCAAGAACTCCACGCGGGCATCCGAAAGTTTGTGTTCGTGCCGGTGTTTGTTCTGCGAGCCTCGTCGTAGGCGGCATCCACGATCGCCGACTCGTCCTTGAAGGGCGTGACCCCCGCTAGCATGACGTAGAGGGTGACCCCGAGGCTCCACAGGTCCACCGCCTTCGTGAACTCGCGCTTGGGCAGCTCCACGAACTGCAGCGTGAACGGGCCGCTCAGGCCTCCCAGGATCTCCGCGATGGCCGTCACCCCTCCCGAGGTGCTCGCCCCGAGCTCGTTGAAATCCTTGACGAACGGCATGTCCAGGATCTCCGTGCCATTAATGTGGGAGATTGCCCAGCCGTCGCCGACGCCGAACTGCGCAGCCTGGCCCCCAGGCTCCAGGCCGCTCACCATGGCGCCCTTGCCGTCGGGCCGCTGCGTGACGATGCCGAAACCTGGCGACGCCTCCTGTGGTGACTTGAAGGTGAACGGGCCGTGGCTCTTCATCGTGGCGCCCCTCGTGGGGGAAAGCAGAACGTGCCGATGCCGCTGCTCCCAGGACCTATGCCGGGGCGCGATCCGACCAGAGAGAATCCCGAGGCGGATGCAGCCGTGGCGACGACGGCCCGGGAGGAGGCCCAAAAGGGCGGCAAGGAAGCAAGGGTAGCGGCATCGGTACCATTCCCTGCTCTGACCTCGGAACGAGCATCATCTTCGCACCAACGAGCTCCGGGGCCATGATCTCAGTGGTCCCGACGCAGCTCCGGGCGTAGGTGTTCTGCACAGATCGGGCGACACCGAAGTCGATGAGCTTTACCGTGGTGTCTTTGGTCAGCTGGCTGGCGCAGACCAAGATATTCTCCGCCTTCAAGTCGCGATGGATCACGTCCCTCTCGTGGATGTGCTTCAGCCCCAAGGCCGACTGCCTGAGGACGCTCTTCGCCACGTCCTCTGCCAGGTACTGCTGCCCGTCCTTGATGTAGCTCGCCAGCTCGCCGCCGTTCACCACCTCCATGACTATCATGATGTACTGCGCCTCAGAAGTCCCGGGCCGAAACGCGTCGTAGCAGCCGATGCACTCGCAGATGTTCGGGTGGCCCTGGATCTTCATGAGGACCTCCGTCTCCTTCCGGATCGTCGCGATCTTCTCGGCCGCCGACGGGTCCATCAACAACCTCTGTAGAAGAAGAAACACCTGCCTAGACACACTTCCGGAGATCCGCGAGGATTTCTTGCATCTGTGCTCAAACCCGATCCGTGGCGCGCGGAGCGCGCCCAGGGCGGCGCCTGAGGCGCCGCCAGGGGGGCCCAGCGCCGATCCAGGGCATCCGCGCGGACCTCCAGAGAGAGCTGACGCCCCAACAACGATTGCCTCCGCAAGCGGTGCGCACCAGAAGCTGTGTGAGACAAGCGTGGGAATGGGTGCGGAAATGCGGGCGCTTCTCTTTGTGCCGCTGTTCTGCCCATGCATTATGTTGCTCCCATCGTACTTGAGGACCACATCCCAGAACAAAACTCGAGCACCCGGACAAGTGACGAAACAGTGTCGAAACAGTGTCGGAGGAGTATCTCCCAGGGCCCGACACGTGAAAGTCGTCGAGTCCTGGCACTTTTTCTGGTGCCCGAAATTCCTTCTGGTGATCAAAGATGAAGCAGGCTGGAACATCATAACCCATGCCGCTCTTTGTGCCTCCCAGCCTCCAAATGGGGATCGCCTTCACCGCGTACTTCGTGTCGGGGGCGCTCTGCCGGTGGCAGAGGTATACCGTGCCCTGGCCGCCGACCCCGAGCAGCCTCTCCGTTTCGATCTCGAAGGGGTCCTCGGCCGGACCGAACACCTTGAACTGGTCGATGGAGCCCAGGGCCCGGGCCGCCACGCGGGGCGTCCGCTGCGCCTTGGGGAGAGCAGCTACACACATTTCGACACCGCTCCTCCCTATCGGGAGCGGCCAAAAGGGGGGTGTCCAAGAGGGGGGCGTGCAAATCATGACCGGCGGCATGTGCGCGGCCCAGCGGGGGGGCGAGGGACATAATGAAATAAGAAGAAGCGCCATGAAATCTGGGGAAATATCATGACCCCCGCCATGAAAACCACCCCCCCCTAGTCATCACCCCCCTCTTTTCCGCCCCCGACCCTAGGGACCTCTCCTGGGGGCGCGCTCGGACCGGGACTCCGAGTCGAGCCCGGCCGTGGCGACGCAGGCCCTCGAGGAGGCGCCGCGGCGGCGGCATCTCCTCCTCTCCCGTGGCTCGCCCGGACGAAGGCCCTCGAGGAGAGCCCAGCCGTGGCGGCGAGGGCACTCCAGGAAGAGCCAGCGCTGGCAGAGCGAGGGGGCCGAGCGGTCTGCCACCATCCCTTGGTGCGAGGGTGAAGCGGGACTCCGTGGCCCAGATTCTGCTTGCATGTTGTTTGTTGCTGTTGTCGTCGTCCCCCCCGCGACCCCCCCGCGACCCCCCCGCGACCCACCCCGCGCCCGATCCCGCGCCCGACCCCCGCGCCCGACCCCCGCGCCCGACCCCCCACTCTCATCCGCAACTGCGCGGTGCTGTGCATGATCTGTACCCGCACGTCCTCCTCGGGCGCGGCCTAAGCGACCCCTACCAAACCATCCCCTTCCGTGACATGATCCTCGCCTTTCGAACTCCCCTCCTGCCGCATGCGTGCGTCTTGGGGCGAGGCGAGGGGGAGGTCACGGAAGGGGCTGGCTTGCCAGGGTTCGGTCAGGCCGCCCCTGACCTCCTCCTCCTCCTCCGAGCGCCAGCGCGCCCCTCGAGGCTCGGGCGGCGCCCCTCGCGGCGGCGAGGCCCGCCAGCGCCGCCGCGGCGCCCGCGGCCGCCCGCCACGCGACGCCCGCCTCGCCTGGCAACGCCTGCAGCTCGGGGCCCCGCTGGCCGCGGAGGCCCGCCGGGCGCGGCGCCGGCGAGCCCGAGAGGGGAGGGCGCCAACTGTACGCCTGCACCGATCTTGGGCAGGCTCACCCTGGGGCCCAGGATCCCAGACCCCCGAGGCGTGATGCAAAAAGCATGGCGGCGGGTGTTTCCGATGTTCGGCCTCCGGGGGGCCCCACACCGGGCCTCGGGACCGTCGAAGAATCACTCAGGATGAGAAGCCTGTGACCGGGAATGGGTCGAGACCTCTGGGGGTCGACGTCATGAAAAAAGCATGGCGTCGGGGGTCTAGGATCCTGGCCAGGCCCATCCTGGGCCCAGGATCGGTGCACACGCCCGCCTGGCTTGGGCAGTGGGGCTTTTACGCCGTTCCTGGGCCCAAGATCGGCCTGGCCAGGACCGGTGCAGGTGTATGGCTGGTGCAGTCCGAGCGATATGCCCCGCGCCGTCGCGAAGGCCTGGGGGCCCAGCCAGCACGCCGCGGCGGACGCCAGCGCGGCACCGAGCGCGCGCGCGCGGGGCGCCATGGAAGCGCCGCGGGGGCGAGGGGGGAGGGGAGACAGGAGGCTTTTGCGCTCCGCCATTGGGCGCCGGCATGTGCCAGCTGCGGGAGCGGAGGAGGAGAGAACGAGCGGGAGGGGGGCACGAGAGAAGGGCAGCGGAGGAGGGGCGCCTCCGCACGCCCTACACGCGTGCCACCCGCGCTCGGCGGGGTACGAGGGGCCGGTGGGCCGCCATGTGCAGGGAGGGGAGGGAGGCGGGAGGGATGGCAGAGCGGAGGACCCAAATCTCCGACGGCATGATTCGTGCCATCCCGGCGCTCTGCTTCGCTTTCGGCCTCCGGGGCCCGATCTCGGGCCCCGGAGGCCATCCGGAACGGGCCCCAGGGCGAAGCTCTGGCCCCGTGGAGGAAGGGGTCGGGACCTCTGCGGCCGCGGATGGAAGAGCGGCAGATCGGCGGACGTCCGGGGAGGACGGTGGAGGAGCACGGGGGAAGGAGGGGTGAGGAGGGTGGCTCGAGCCCGCGTCAAATCTTGAGCCAAATCGGCTGCGCGGGCCACGTCGTCCTCCATCCAACCTTCGGGAACAGGGCAGCTCCACGCCGCGCCACCAGATGTCAGTGAGGGCGCGCGGGGCGTTTCGCCTGAGACTCCAGCCGCCAACCGCTGCACGGAAGGAGGGTGCGCCGTTTTTTCAACTGTGGTTCTCGACTTAGCGCCGCGCACACTCGCCTTAAAGGTTTCCAGCAGGTACACAAGAATAGAGGGCGGGTCTCTGTCATAATACTTCGATCGTCTCAACGACACGAACATTCGTCTGAAAAGCTCCCAACAGGCTCAATAATACACCACCGCATATTGTTCAAAGGTGATATCGGCCTGACGATAGGCACATTCGCCCTTGCAATGATGAAGGATGGCTCCTCTTCACAATGGGGCTCTGGGGTAAGACGTCTTCACAGCTTAATGCCATAAACTTGTCAGTCCGCAGCGATGACACGGGCGGAAATTGTTGTCATGAATCCTGCACTCGCTGGAGCATCCTCGTATATGATAACCATCTACCGTGGCACGTCCCATATGTAGAGAGATGGCGAGCGGCTCCTTTTCAAGACGGGGCCCTCACTTGTCATTATCAAAGGTGGCCCCATGAGGCTAGGCCAGGGAGGTTATTAAAGAGGCTGGTCCTTTGGCCCGAAGAAACCTCCCGCCGGGGCTGCGCCGCGCCACCTCGGTCAGTCGAAGCCTCCCACACGGGGCAAGAGCATCCCGTGCACGAGGCCGAGATAATCCCCCTTGCGTTGCTGGGGTGCGCCGCCTAGGCGCCACAAGTCTCGTCGGGGGCCCTTGGCTATCCCCGGCCACCCCTGGAGGGCCCAAAGGGTCCAAATCGCGATGTCAGGTCGCACGCCGCACGTGGGGTTCTGCTGTGGCCCGCCTGGTAGCTGAATTGGGGCCTCTTGTGGTGTCCCCGCCTCCCTATTTCTGCCCCAGCTCGCCCCTGCTGCTGCCCGATTGCAGTCCCTTTCGCTCTTCTTCCTTGCCCATCTCTTCGGCCCGGTGCTCCACGACGTCGGCATCTCCTCTTCCCCCTCGTGTTTCGAGCTCGCCGATCCTTCCTCCCTCGTATCCTCATGTATGTCTCTGTTTGGGTTCCTTAGGTGTTCTGACCCACAACTGCGCAGGGTAGGAAGCGCGAGTGCCACGGGGGGGAGTGCACGCTGCAATCCGACAACCGCGCATGGCGCTCCTAGGCCTGGACTGGAGTGTAGCCCGCCTCGGAGGCCTCGAAACGGGGGAAAGAGTACCGTGCTTCGCGCTGCGCGCGGTGCAAAGAACGAGCATTCGGGCGACATAGCGAGAGCGGCGGAGGCACCGAGAGGCCAGGCGTTCCAGAGCTATGGACCTCGGAGTTCCAATCTTAATCGAAAGCCTACTGGTGAGTGTCACCGCCCGGGTTTTTCAAGGCTTGGCCGAACCCTCACATTGGGACGTCTGGATAAACATCCTCCCCCTGTATTCGTTCCACCACGGCCAGTGGCATTACCCCCGTGGATTGTGGCACCAGGTCTCGGCGAATAGACTTCGGCTTCAACTGGCCATCCCCTTTCCCAAAACAGTGTGCACGAGGGGCTCGTACCTGCCTTCTGAGGAGCTGGGCCTGCGGGCCGCTCTGGCCGGCATGTCGCCGCCTCGTCGCCGCCTGCCGCCTCGTCGCCGGCCGCTTCGCATTGCTTCGTTTGCGCTACATACATTGCACCACATAGCTTGCACTGCGCAAGTTCTCTTGCCAAAAAATGATAGGATCTATCCCCCCCCTCCCGAAATCAACGGGACGCCTCTTCGTATTGCAATTTACACCCGGCTCCGCCCTATCGCCCTCTAAATGTGAACTCATACCATCCCAAGCAGGCCGGTATCCCCCCGACTCATCCGATGCAACAAATATTATGCGCGCGCTCGTTTATCGAAAACCATCCGTTTTCAAGAATTCCTTGCCAAACACGGACGACGCGCACACGCGCGCGTCGTCGTGCGCGCGCATGCCGAAATCATTCAAGAACCTCAGGCTTCGCACGGATTTCAACATCGCGGGCACCGAACACATATAAACACACATGGTGTCACATCAAACATTGTCGCAATAATCCCTTCCAACAAACGGGGCGAAGTGCACACGCGTGCGTCGCCGCGCTCGAATGCGGAAATCCTTCAACAACTTTAGGTTTCGTAGGGATTCCAGAACCAAGTGTCCCGAATAAATGTCAAAACGACATGTGGTGTTACAACGTCACTTTTCAACACAGCCTACTTACGCTCGCGGTCTTGCGAATTCTTAAAACAACTGTGGGTTTTCGAACTGGAGATCAAATGGTTGACGTGTCGCATTTCCCCACCAGCCCATCCAGAAACGATGCCCAAAGGAGTTGGGGTGACCAGGAGTGGGGGAGCATGCACAAAAAAACAAGGGCGGGGGAAGCCGTCAGATACATCAAGGGGGGGGAGGATGGTGGAAGAAAAGGAGGAGGAGGAGGAGGGCGAAAAGGAGGACGGAGGAAGTGGACAAGGAGGTGGAGGAGGAGGAGGGAGGAGGAGCAGCAGGAGGAGGAGGAGCAAGAGGAGGAGGAGGAGGAGGAGGAGGAGGTGGAGGAGGAGGAGGAGGAGGAGGAGGAGGAGGGAGGAGGAGGAGAAGGGGCATCTTGGCGAACCCAGGGCCGTTTTTGAACGTCCTGGGTGCCTCTGGGATCCCCTTGGGGCCTCTTGGGGGCCTGTTGGAAGCCTCTTTGAAGCATCCTGGGCGCCCCTTGGGGCCGACTGGGCGTTTCTTGGGGCCATCGTTGGGCGCCCTTGGGAGCCTTGGAGGAGATCGATCAAAGAAGAGGGGGTCCCGAATTCGCCTCCCCAAAAGTCGCCTCGTGGGCGCTCTTGGGGCGCTCTTGGAGCAGTCTTGGACGGTCTTGCGGCCGTCTTGGGGCTTTCTTGGTTCTCTCATGGGGCCCTCTTGGGCCACCTTGGAGCCATTTGAGGCTTCGGATGGCCATCGGAAGCGAAAAAGCGAGAAAACCAAACAAGAGTGATCCCCCTTGTTTTGGAAGGCTGCTGGCCTTTTCGGGGCCTCCTTGGGGAGCCCGTTGGCCACCAGGAGCAATGTTGGAGCTGTCTTGGGGCCTCTTGGAGCATCTTGGGCGCCATCTCGAAGCATAGTGGGATCTCTTAAGCCATCTTGGGGATCACCTTGGGTTCTCCGAAGCGTTTTTGGAACCATCGTGGGCCATGTTGGACGCTCCGACCCTTCGCGGGGCCCCCCGTCCAGGTCCAGCGGAAAGAGGGTATAGAGGGAGGGGTACCCCCCCAAAGGAGAATAATGGGACCCGATGAAGGAACTTCCAGGATTAATACCTACGCCCAGAGGGCTGGCGGGATTCTGCCAAGCGGGCCTCTCGCGCTGCATGTCGAACTCATTCGAACACCCTTGCGCGCGTGCTGGCGGGGAGGGGCGGGGGCACGATCCGCATCGCATAAAACCTCGGGGGCCACTCGTGCGCGTCGGCGGCGCGCGCATGCAGAACTCCTTCAACAAGACGCGAAGACATCGTCATCGTTATCGGCGGGCGTGATGGGCATCGGTGCCGTCATTGGTTTTGCCGTCGTCATCGCCACCATCGCCACCATCATCGTTACCCTCGTGATCGTGTCTACCGGTGTCGGCGTCGCCATGATACCGTGCCCACCCAAGCCACCGACTCGCACTGAAACGCCCGCTGGGAAGTGCCCTACGGTCAACGCCACCGTGGCCGCGTCGGTCGCGCCAAACTAGCTGGCCGCTGTGCGCGCGAGCATGCGCGAGGTATTGCGGCCGCAGAGATCCACCAGCCAACGCCAAGCATTCATCGCAACCGCCGCCGCGTGGATGTTGCAAACCAGCTTGCGGGTGGGTGGTGAGATGTTTGCAAGAGCATGGAAATTGACAACCCGTTTGCAAAACAAGAAAACAAAAACATTAGACCAAACATCTATATATATATATATATATATATATAGCACAACATAATGTGCTAGAACACACTGTTTGGGGTCCACGCTGGCAAACATATTTAAGGATGTGACCTACTTGTCGGACGACTACTGGCTTTTGGCAGCATAGAGTCCGGCAAGCTGCCCCACTGTCTCCAGAACTTCCCCGATGACAGCCTCATCCCTAAAGACGGCTCGGGCTGTAGCCAAGGGGGCTAAGGCTTCAGGCACCCTTCAAGACTACAGCGCGGCATGGATAGGGAGCCCACTAAGAACCTACGCGCCCAACCACGTGCATGGACACGGTCCCCCAATCCACGAGACCAACCGCATGGCACGAACGCTCGCGCAATGCGTCCTCTCGAATCCTCGTGCACGTGTACTCGCCAGACGCCGGCCGCGGCGGGGGCGCCCCCGCGGCGGCCCGCGCTGGCCGCGGGCTGCGGGCGGCTTCGCCCTCCCTGCCCTTCCCTCCCCCCTCCCCGTTCTCTCTGTCGTGTCGTCCCCTCGTCGTCGTTCCCTCTCTTTGCCACAGGGCTCCTCCGCGCAGGTTTAAAAAAAGTACTTCTTTCTTCCGCTCCTGAATGGATGTCCTCCTCCTCCTCCCCTCCCTCCCTCTTTTTCTCCTCGCCTTCTGTCGGAGGAGGAGCTGAGAGGCGGCTCGCACGAGCGCGGCCCCACGCGGAGCGGGCAGGCAGCGAGCCCGGCTCAGGCCCTCTTGGACAAGCCCTTCCAGAGCACCTGGGGAAACAGTGCGGGGGGAGGTAAAACGAAGCCAGGGCGAGGATACATTCGGGCGAGGAGAGCATCGAGAATCGCTGAGATCCGGCGGCTCTGGAGGATGTCTAGGGCGACGGCGGCCTTCCCAGAGCGTTCCGGAACGCTCTGAGAGCGTTCCAGGAGTGCTCTGGAACGGGTTTATCCTTGTGGATGCCACGACAATGGACACCCTAACAGTCTTATCATTTAAGTTAAAATGTGTTTAAACTGGGGGCAACTGTTCCAAACATATTTTAAACATGTTGTTCCACATGTTTAAAACATGTGTAAGACATGCTTAAGACACCTGGTAATTATTTGGCAACAGGCTTCCTCTCCATTTATCGCCCTCCACAAGTTGATCCTCGTCCGTCCGAAATGGGGGGGAGGGCGGGGGGGAGGCGGACGAGGGGCGGAGCGAAGCGAACGCCGGAGTCGTGCGCGCTCCTCTGAGGGGCCCGCCCGCCGTGCCCATCGCCCATCAGGGCACGGCGTGGGGGCAGTGGCCTCGGACATGTGAAACATAAATGCGATGGCCCGGGGAGGGGGAGGAGGGGACGGGAGGGGGAGGGGAGGCTGAGGCACCGGGTGGTGGGGTGAGGGGGGGGGATGAACAGAAGGGAGGCTGAGACATCGGGTGGAAGGGATATGAGAGAGAGAGAGAGAGCGAGAGACAAGGGGGGGATGAGCGGGGGAGCGGGGAGACGAAATGGAGGGCGCGAGCACGGCACGGCCCAGGCGTGCCCGAGGCATGATCTGCCGAGGCATCGGCGCCGTGGGCCATCGCAGCAGAGACGCCACGGATGAGAAGAAGGCAGGACGGGGGAGAGGACGAAGGGACGGCGAAGCGGAGGGGGATAGCGGACCCGTGGATCTGGCGCGTGGGAGCCAAGCTCACTGCCTCCCGGATCATGAAGCCAGTGCCGCCCGGCTTGGCGACGGAGCGCTCCGATGCTGCATGGAAGCGGGACCCGTCGCCAGGTTGTGCGCTCAAATCCGTGGTTGCGCCTCCTCGGAAGGAAGGGGGGGTGGGGAAGCGAGAGCACCGTGAAGAAAGCCCCCTGCAGAACGTTGGTGCAGATCCGCGTCTCCAGGCCCCGCAGGAAGAGCCCCCTGACGCCGTCCCTCGCGATGACGGCCCTCGCCGCCTGCAGGTAGCCCGCGGAGGGGTCCTGGCTCGTCTGCTTCTGCGTCTTCAGCACTCGGATCGAGTTGGACGCCAGGTCGCTGACGGTCGCGGCCACCGCGCCGATGAGCGCATGCCGAACGCGTGCCGCCCAGAAGCCCGGGGGCTCCGGGACCGCCGCCGAGAGCGCGTTCACGGTGACAAACCTGGAAGAAGAGAAACTTTCGGAGCTCCGCGCGGATGTCTGGGATCTGCGCTGGGCCCCTGGCGCGCGGAGAGCGCCAGTGGCGGCGCTGGAGGCGCCTCCAAGGCCCGACGCCGATCCAAGAAATCCGCGCGGAGCTCCGAAAGATAATGTGTATGCAGTGTTGTTGTGGATGCTTTCCGATATCTCTCCGGCGTTGGCCGCTGTTGTTTCCGATGTTTCCGATGCCTTTGGTTGCGCGCTTACGAGTGTTGCATGCCGATGCTCTCTCGATGTTTGCCCAGCTCAGCTTGGCTCTTTCTCGGTCGGGAACCACGGGTAGCCGCCGACGATGTTCGCCACCAGGTTGCCCTCCCAGCCGTACCAGAGGACTGCGACGCCGCCCGCCTTGACCTTGGCCCGCAGAACCGCCCAGCCCTCCGCCCCGTCGGTCTGCAGCACCGTCTTGCAGGTGTCAACGGCAGGAGGCCCCAAGCCACGACTCTCTCAGGCCAATCCCAGGCCACCCCCCATCCACGTGCACCTCCTCCCCTATTCCCCACGAGGGAGGTTGGACGAGAATGGTGTCAGGCTTCATGACGCGATTGGCTCAGGATGCGTTCCAGGAGTACTGGAGTATCTGGCGGCCCTCGTTTCTGGAGCCTGTGCGAAACAACAGGACCGGCTAGAAACCCTGATGAGTTCTGGCTCTTTCTCCTAGGAGGAGAAGCGACAGAAAGGAGGAGGCGAACGCTACGATCCTAGCCGATCAAAGTTTGCCGAACGTCAAAATCAAGGAGGAGGAGGAGGAGGAGGAGGAAGAGGAGGAGGAGGAGAAGCAGGAGGAGGAGGAGGAGGAGGAGGAGGAGGTGAAGCGGAGAAAGAGGAGCAGAAGGAGGAGGAGGAGGAGGAGAAGGAGGAGCAAGAGGAGCAGGAGAAGCAGGAAGGCGAGTGCCAGGAGGACCTTCTCGGGGCCTCCCGGGCACTCCTGACCCGGCTCCCCCACCACGGCGCCTCCAGCCCACCCCCCCCCCCTCCCACCCCCTTCCTTCCCCCCCCAGGGGCAGAATCTGCGCGGGGGGCCGTGCCTGGGGAAACCAAAAAAATACTGATACCGCTACTCCCTGCACTTTCCTTGGGTGCGTTCTGACCAGAGTTTCGAGGCGAATCCAGCCGTAACGGCGAGGGCTTCCCAGGAGGCCCAAAACGGCGAAATCGAAGGAAGGGTAGCAGTGCGAGTGCCTCTTCCTCCTCTGAGTGCTGAGGGCCTCCTGGATGGGCGTGATCGCCACGCGCCAGCTGGAGGCCGCCAATGACCCCAGCAGCGTCACGGCCCCCACCGGCAGACCGGGAACGCAGGCGCCTGCTACGACCAGAGGTCGCGGCAGGGGTGGTCAGCCAGGGGGAGGGGCGGGGGGTAACCTCCTCGTTCTGGGCATGGAGGGCCCTCCCGGACCTTCGAAGGAGGGATGGGGCCCTCCTCCTCCTCCTCCTCCTCCTGCTCCTCCTCCGCCTCAAACCAATTTCCTTATACATAGCTCCTCCCTGTCGTGCCTACAGGCCAATTGGAGGGGCGGGCTGGGCGTTTCGCCTGAAACATCCGCCGAATGGATGATCCTGAAGAAATTGACAACAATTCACAGATGGAGGGCGGGCCGATTCTAATATGTGACTTTCGCCTTAGCCGCTAAGGCATAGCGCCGCGCGCATTCGCCATAGAAATTGCAACAGCTTCACGGATGGAGGGCGGGTCGCTTCCAAAATGTTGCTCTCGCCTCAGCGCCGCGCACACTCGTCTTAAACATTTGCAAAAGCTTGACGAATTGAAGGCGGTTCCTTTTAAACATGTGTCTCTCGCCTGAGCGCCGCGGACATTCGTCTTAATCAATTGTATGAGTCCCGCGGCGTCCTAATGGATTAACGCACCAGGGACAATGTTTTTTGAGCGACTCAGGACTGCCAGGGCGCAACAAGTACGTTGGACCGCGATGTTCAAGTCCCGGGAAAGATATTCTGGCACGGTTCGGGCTCGCTACGACGCAACAGTCAAAATGATTCGTGGCGTTGCAATTCCGAGAAAAGTGTTTTGGCCTCCTCCTCCTCCTCCTCGTCTCTCTCGGCCCTGGTGTCGTTCAGACGCGGCCCTCCTCCTCCTCCTCTTCCTCCTCCTCTTTCTCCGCCTCCTCGTTTTCCTCGTCCTCCTCCTCCTCCTTCTCCTCTTCCTTCTCTTCCTCCTCTTCCTCCTCCTCCTCCTCCTCCTCCTCCTCCTCCTCCTCCTCATCCTCGTCGTCCTCCTCCTCCTCCTCCCCCTCCTTCTCCTCCTCCTCCTCCTCCTCCTGCTCCTCCTCCTGCTCCTCCTCCTCCCCCTCCTCCTGGGAAGGGAGGGGCCGGCGCACTCCCCTAGAGGGGGAGGCATGCCTCTGACGCAGCGCCCCTCCCGCCTCGCGGGGTGGGTGGAACGTTGCGCGAACCCAACCCTGGGCTCCACCGCGCGCGTGAGGGCCGCCCTCTGCTGCGGGGAGGGGCGGGCACGACGAAGGGGGGGAGGACGGAGAGTGGGAGGGGTGCGACGGAAGAGGGCAGTGGGAGGTGTGGGGAAGGGATTCGGAGAGGGGGGGATGACGGTGAAGGGGGAGGTGGGTGTTGAAGGGGGCGGATGAAGTCGGGGATCTCTGAGGTCCCGCGGTTCTGGACGACGTATCGGGCGCAGCGGCCGTTCCAGAGCGTCCTGGAACGCGATAGCGTTCTGGACACTCTGGAGCGATCTACAACGACCCTAAGCCTGACGGGGAGGAGGGGGAGGGAAAGGGGGACGGGGGGAGCGAAAGTGTGTTGTGGGACGGGGATTTGGGAGACGGGCTGGGCCATCCACCCCTGGTTGGCCTCTGGCATGGCCAACACCCCCTCGTTCGCGGCCGTGTCGCCGAAGCGGGCCAGCGGGGCCTGGGCCACATCCCAGGGCCAGCGGGCTGAGGAGGAAGAGGAAGGCGGGATAGGGAGATGAGAAACAGAAAGGAGGCCGCGGCAGAGGGAGGAGGAGGAGGAGGAGGAGGAAGACATTAGGAAGAGGATCAGGAGATGGTCGAAAGAGAGAGAGAGTCAGAGAGAGAGAGAGACGGAGGAGGGAGGTGGGAGGGGGAGGAAGAGGGGGAGAAGGAGGAGGAGGAGGACGAGGAGGAGGAGGACGAGGAGGAGGAGGAGGCGGAGGAGGAGGAGGAGAAGGAGGAGGAGGAGGAGGAGGAGGAGAAGGAGGAGGAGGGGGAGGAGGCCGAGGAGGACGAGAAGACGGCAGCAGGACGGAAGAGGAGGAGGAGGAGGAGGAGAAGGCATAATAAGAAGAAGAGGAGGAGGAGGAGGAGGAGGAGGAGGAGGAAGAAGTTGGACGGAGGACGGAGAGAAGGAGGAGGAGGAGGAGGAAGAGAAGAGGATGATGAGGTGGAGAACGGAGAGGGGGAGGGAAGACGGGTGATGAACGGAGAGGACGGAGGCGGAGGAGGAGGAGGACGAGGAGGAGGAGGAGGAGGACGGAGGAGGAGGAGAAGGCGGCGGAGGCGGAGCAAGGAGAGAGGAGGAGGAGGAGGAGGAAGTGGAGGAGGCCGAGGAGGACGAGGAGACGGCAGCAGGACGGAAGAGGAGGAGGAGGAGGAGGAGGAGGAGGAGGAGGAGAAGGCATAATAAGAAGAAGGAGGACGGAGAGAAGGAGGAGGAGGAGGAGGAGGAGGAAGAGTTGGACGGAGGACGGAGAGAAGGAGGAGGAGGAGGAGGAGGAGGAAGAGTAAGAGGATGATGAGGAGGAGGAGGACGGAGAGGACGGAGGAGGAAGACGGATGTTGATGAGGTGGAGGAGGAGGAGGAGGACGGAGGAGGACGGAGGCGGAGGAGGAGGAGGAGGAGAAGGAGGAGGAGGGGGAGGCGGACGGAGGAGGAGGACCAGCGTAAACCCAAGAATCACCCACGAGTTGGAATACGCCCTCCCCGAAAGCTCCCTCTTCGTAGGCCCCTACAACGGTTCATTTCCACTCCACAGAGCGAAGACATCCGTTTGAAGACCCTGAAACATACTAAAACAAGGGTCCCGGCATCCAGCGCCACGGGTAAACCTAACTGGTGCGTCTTGACGATCCTGAATCGTGCCAGAACGACTATCCTGGGATTTCAGCACCGCGAATCATCGTTATTGTTGCGCCCCCATTATCGTGAACCCTTCCAAAGCACCATTTCTGGTACGTCGACCATGAGGAACCGTGACACGATTGCAATGTTTTAACACGACTGCGCGCGGTGCTAAAACGAGAACCACATGTTGAAAACCATCAGCCCTCAATATATGAAGCTCTTGCAAAGGTTTGGAAAGAAGGTATGCGGCGCTAAGGCGAGAACAACATTTTGAAAACGCCCCGCTTTCAATCCGTGAAACGCTGGCAAATGTCTAAAACGAGTAAGCGCGGCGCTAATGCGAGAACCACACTTTAAAAACCACCCGTCCATAATCCGCGAAGCGCTTGCAAATGTTTAAAAGGAAAGCGCGCGGCGCTAAAGCGAGAACCACATGTTGAAAACGACCCGCCCTCAATCCGTGAAGCTCATTCTATATATATATATATATAATCGAATGTGCGCGGCGCTAATGCGAGAACGCATGTTTTGAACACCCCCCGCTCTCAACCCGTGAAGCTCTCGCAACTGTTCAAAGCGAATGTGCGCGGCGCTAAGGCGAGAGCCACACTTTGAAAACGACCCGCCCTCAATCCGTGAAGCCCTTTCAATTGTTGAAAAGCGAATGCGCGCGGCGCCAATTCGAGAACCACATTTTGAAAGCCATCCGCCCTCAATCCGTGAAGCCCTTTCAATGTTTAACAACGAATGTGCACGGCGCTGAGGCGAGAGCCAAATTTTGAAAACCACGCGCCCACCATCTGTGAAACTGTTGCCAATGTTTGGGACGAATGGTGAGGAAGTCTCGGATGGTGAGGAAGTCTTAAGCGAAACGCCTGGCCCGCCCCAAAAACTGGCCTCGGGGTGCGACAGGGAGAAGTTATCTGTAAGGAGAAGGAAAGAAGGAGGAGGAGGAGGAAGAGGAAGGGGAGGTGGAGGAGAAAGAAAAGCAACGCAAAGAACTATCGGACCCAAAGTCTCCCCGACTTACGAGACTACAAACAGTTTGGATCAAAGTGGCAGCAGTGACTAAGTTCCCACATGAAAGGCCCTGTTGGCGGGGAAAGCGGTCTAGCTAGCCTAGAGACGACCCCAGTAGAGGGTGGAGGAGAAAGAAGGAGGAGGATGGACGGTAAGGGAGGAGAGCGGCGAGGGCGAGGACGACGGCAGCAGCGACGAGCCGCGGCGAGGGGCCTGCGCCAGCCCCCAGGGCAGCAGGCCGCGGTACAAGCGCGGCAGGCCCCCCTCCGCCCACAGCGCGGTGAGCGCGTGCCGCAGGCTGCCGCCGTTCTTGTACTGGTAGTTCATCGCCGTGCGGAGCCACATGAAGGCGACGACCTTCCGGCAGAGGGCGCTACCAGTTCTGGCGCTTAAATGTTTGAAGTTCGAGGTTCCAGGTTCTCGGTCGTTTTCGTGGGTTCGCGACGGTGTTCTGGCCTCGGGGGGGGATCCCAACGGCTGCGCCTCGCCGGGTGCGTTCCAGGGGTGCCCATCTTTCAAGGATGCACTCTCCGCAGTGAGAGTGAACGCTTGCTGGGGCTCGTGAAGAGAGGGAGGGTCTGGGGACGGAGAGAGGTGCGTTGCGGCATCGCAGATGCACCCACAGGCTTCATCTGGCTCATTTCCCCCTCCTCCCTCTCGGCCCCTCCTCCCCCGTCAACCCTCTTCCTCCCAGTCTGCCCCAGCCCCCTCCCCCCCGCCCATGGGGGGACAAAGGTACCGATACCGCCACTCCCCAGACCTCTCCTGGGGTGCATTTCTTACCAGGGTTTCGAGGCGAAGCCAGCCGTGGTGACGAGGGCCTCCCAGGAGGCCCAACACAAGCGAAAACGAGGCAGGGGTATCGGTAATGGTAATTACCTTTCTCCTCGAGCTGGCCCGCCTCCCCCCGGCGCCGACCTGGCACACGCCCGCCGTGAAGCCCGCTGACCCGCTGCGCGCTGCGCGCCACAGCGCCCCCACCACCTGAGGGGCAACGAGGGGGGGGCCTGGTGCAGGGTGGGGGAGACATCGACGCGGAATCGGTGACACATCGCTGATAGGTCGGCGACAGGCCTCCGATCCGAACGTTCCGGGGTGGGGTGGGCTATCGGGCCTCTGCCCGCGATGAACGGGCGACTGGGGGTCGACGCATACCCCCCTGCGCCGATCCCCCCTCACGCTCACGCTGCCCCGATCGTTCTCTTGCGTCCGGGCCACCTCTGAGGTCCGTCTGGGGACCCCCTAAACTCTGTCGGCGAGGCGCAGATGCTGGAAGGCACCCGCGAGGCTGGAAAAACCGCACGGACGAAAAAGGAATCCCCCCCCGAGCCATATCATCCCCCCCCCCCTAAAAGTTTTAGCCTTCCCCTGGAGACTTCGCCTGATATTTCCACCAAAAGGGGGTTCCTGGAGATTTCCTGGAGACTTCGGATGGGATTTGGCTTGTAAATTTCGCCGGGAGGATCTGCTTTGGAGATCCGAGGGGGCCCAAGCACTGCGGCCGGAGATTTCGGGGACGATATCCGCAAATTGTTTGCCATTCGTACATGTTATGAAGACTCCCCCGATCTAACTCTAACGGTGTCCATGACCACCGCTGCGCGCAGCGCGGGCGCCTCTCCGGCGGCCGCCGCCTCGCCCGCGGGCGGCCGCAGCGCGGCGCGCTCCGCGCTGGCGGGCCCCGTGGCGCAGCGCCCGAGGCCTGGGAGGACGCCTGGCCCATCCGATGGGCCCAAGATCGGTGTGCACTCAGAGGAGGGAAAGGTAACTACCCGTACCGCTGCCCTTCCCTTGCCTCCGCCTTGTTGGGCCTCCTGGGAGGCCCTCGGCGCCGCGCCTGGGTTCGCCTCGAGATGCTGGCCAGAACGCACCCCAGGAGAGGTCTGGGGAGTAGCGGTGTCCTCCTCCTCCTCCTCCTCCTCCTCCTCCTCCTCTCCTCCCTCCTCCTCCTCCTCCTCTCCTCCTCCCTCCTCCTCCTCCTCCTCCTCCCCCTCCTCCTCCCCCCCCTCCTCCCCTCCTCCTCCTCCTCTCCTCCTCCTCCTCCTCCTCCTCCTCCTCCTCCTGCCTCCTCCCTCCTCCTTTCTCCGCCTCCTCCACCTCCCTCCTCCTCCCTCCTCCTCTTCCTCCTCCTCCCTCCTCCGCCTCCTCCTCCCCTCCTCTCCCCCCCCCCCCTCTTCTTCCTCCTCCTCCTCCTCCTCCTCCTCCTCCTCCTCCCTCCTCCCTCCTCCCCCTCCTCCCCTCCGCATCATCCTCCTCCTCCTCCTCCTCCTCCTCCTCCTCATCCTCCTCCTCCTCCTCCTCCCAGGTCTGGGCGGTAAGGCGTGTGCACCGATGCTGTGCCCAGGATCGGCCGGGCCAGCATATGGGCGCAGCGCCCGAGGCCGCCCGGCTCATCCTGTGTGGGCCCAGGGTCGGCGTGTGCGTCTCCCTGGCTCGGGCAGCATCGGTGTTATTCGCCGATGCTGGGCCCCGCGGGTGTACACGCGACTTCGGCTGGAGAGGGCACGCGAGAGGGTACGAGATCCTTCCGAGGGCCGCGTTGCCATAGGAATGCGCAGAGCAGAAGGCATGGGTGGCTGAACACAGAACACTAAGGGTACCCTTGATGATTTGGCAGGGTCGAGGTGCGGTGCAGCCGAAAAAAAACGTTGTTCCACCAACTGTGGGAATGCCTAGAGAATGCAGACGTTGCAGGGTACTGATAAAGTTCGACTGTGCTACGTACTCAAGTGGCTTGCGCCATCCCGCCGACTCCCAGAGGAGAAACGACGTCCACGGGTGAGGCACGTTGCCTATTGGGAACTGATCGAGGGACCTGCTGGGGCATCTTTTGGGCCTCTTGGGGCCCTCTTGGAGCCTCTTGGGGTCTGTTGGGCGCCTGCTGGGAGCTGGGTATCAATCAACCTCGACTGTATTGTTGGTACCCTCCTCCTCCTTCTCCTCCTCCTCCTCCTCCTCCTCGTCCTCGTCCTCGTCCTCCTCCGACGACGACGTGTTGGTGCCCTCCGAGGGCCGAGGCCGAAGGCCGCCAGCAGCAGGCCGCAGGCCGCCCAGAGCCCCAGCAGCAGCAGCGGGCCGCGCGCCCGCATGCCCGCCGCGGCGCCCGTCCGCCGGGCGGCGCGGCGGGCCACGCCGCGCCGCATGGGGGCGGCCGCGGCGGCGGCGGCGGCGGGGGGGCGAGCTGCCCAGGGGGCGGGCGCTGCACCGAGAACGTCCAGGGGTCGCGGGGATGAGACGAAGCCAGGGCGAGGAGAAGCTCGGGGCGGAGCGGCGAAAGTCGGGGCGGGGCGGCGGCGGCGAGGACCCAAGCGTGATAAAACATTACTGTGCAATCGCGAGCTGCAGTGGCACGATGCTCGGCTCAAGTTTTCTGTCACATATGTGTTTTAGCACGCTCGAGTCGAGCAGCATCGTTGTCACTACATCTCGTGATTGCACACGGTCACACTTGAGCCGAGCACCGTTGCCACTGCAGCTCGTGTTTGCACACAGCGATCGTTTTTGTTATATCACAGTGGAGTTGTGTCTTGTCTCCTTTATACACATATATGTATAGACATAAGTAAGCTATACAAGTAATCACACTTGAGCGGGGCGAGCAGCCCAGGGGCGGGCGCCAGACTCAGAACTCCCAGGGCTCGCCAGGATAAGACGAGGCCAGGGCGAGGACAGACTCGGGCGAGGGTACGCATCCAAACTCTCTGAGGTCCCGCGGCCCTGAAGGATGTCTCGGGCACCGCGGCCTTCTCACAGCGACCCAGAGAACTCTGGAACGGATTTGTCCTCGTCCGAGCCCTGTCCGATAGGATTTGGCTACGCCCCCACGAAAAAACGATCGAGGCCTTCCCAGTGTTTCGCGGCAGGGGGGAACTTGGACGAAAAACAAGGAATACTCAAGAAATGCCCCAAAAATGCCCAAGCACTCCAAGACTAACCCCCAGATTGCTTTCTTAGTATTTTTGGCCATCCCCCCTGTAGAGGGACGGGCCCGACTTAAGAGCAGCGCGCAGAGCAGCACGCCGATCGCTGCCCCGCGGCGGCGTGCCCCCGTCGTGGACACGGTCTCCCCACCCACCGCTCGGCGGGCCTGCCCTCCGCCGAGCGCGCGCGCGCGCGCGCCGCCCTGCCGACCGGGATTCGACCCGGCTGCCCCCGTGGCCGGCCTCCTCCCCTCGGCCACACGTAGAAAGACCCAGACCTGATCGCGTCGTAACAAAAATCAGGGCGGGCGGTTTCTGGCTAAGATCGGCCCTGGGGGGCCCTCGCCGGGCCTCGGCACCGTCCAAACACGGCTCGGGATGAAGAACCGGTCCTGGGGAAAGGGTCGGGACTTCCAGGGGCGCCGTCCTAAAAAAATCAGGACGAGGCATGCCTGGGTAAAGACAAACCCTCCAACGGAGGGAGCGCTGGTGCGGGCCCGCCGGACAGCCCCCTGGACAGCCCGGGCGACCCACGCTGCTTCACGACGGCAGGACCGCCGCACCCTGGGCCCCGGACAACCCCTGTATGGACAACGCAGCGGGGATCCGGACACGCCCGCGCCCCCGGACAACCCCGTTGGACGAGCCTCCCCGGGATTGTCCTTCCATAAGGTAAATACCCCCGCCAGCCAGCGATTCTCTGGAGTGGATGGGGGGCGGGGGTCAGGACTCGAACTTCGTCACGTGCTCCACAAATTCCGAACCAGACCCCTTCCGCCCATCGAGCTGCCAAAATCGTTGATCGGCGAGCGTAGGGTTCGGATTTCGCCTCCGACTGAGGGCGGCCATGAGACGCTACGAATTCGACCATAGATCACTTGTTGCCGAGCCGCCATCGGCGGTAATCGGCAACCTTTCGGCGGTAAACGGCGGTCTTTGGTGGCAATCGCCTGTCATTAGCGTTCCTTGGCGGTCTTCCGCGCGAAAGCTGGATGATCAAATCTAACACAAGGGTGCATGATCAAACACCTCACCGGAGATCCCGGCGCTGCAGTCTTGCCACACTCAGCGGTTTCGCCGTTTCGGGCTCGAAATACGCGGCAGGAAGATTGGGTGTATAAGACGAAACCAGGACGAGGATAAAATCGGGTGAGGATAAATCATGAATTTCTGAGATCTGGAGGTTCTGAAAGATGTATCGGGCGCCGCGGCCTTCTCAGAGCGTTCCGGAACGCTCTCAGAGCGTTCTGGCACGCTCTAGAACGGACTCATCCTCCTTCTAGCCCCGCCCGAGTATAGGCTCTGGCTTGTTTTCTCGCGATATTGCGATTCTTCGCAACGCCAGATGTCTGCCTATATATAGAGAACCGAGCTCTCTCTATATATGTATATGTATGTATATATATATATGTATGCGCGGCGGCACCCTATCGGGCAATACGCGCGGTTGTCGTGCGCTCCCGAGAAATGCACGATCAACGACGGTGGTAGATGCGGCCTGCTGCAATGGCAACGGATGGGCTATAATTTTTTCTCGGTGGCGGATTCTCTCTGCAGGCGCTCTCAAGCACTTCTGACTGGGAAACGGGATAACGACAGCAGGGCAGGCAATGCCTCGACGCACGTGCGCGGACGAAGGAAGACAAACTCAGGCCCGCACGAAGGACAGCCTGGGCGCTTTCTTGCGCACGCGGCGCAAATTGCTGGCGGGCTCGTCGTGCTTCAAAGACACAACTTCTCCTCGCTTCCGTTTCTTACCTGCTGCGTTGCCGTTTGGATCCCTGTCCTTGCCGCCCGTATTGCCCGTGATATACGTCTGGGCAACTTGCACCATCTTGCACGATGTCTGCTGGGCAGATGTCGCGCCGAAATGCTGAGTGTAGGTGACAGATCCGTCAGTGTAGTGGATGGACAGCGGGAGCATCTCATTCACCGCAGCAGCCAGGTCGTGGACCGTGGAACGCTTTCGCGCGCTAGTGGCAGCTCGGTTCCCGGCGGGGTACGCGTTGATCCATTCTTAGAATATTTCTCCATTCGTTCCCAAGAGAATGTGGTCGTCGAGTGCTTGCATATCGAGGGCGAATTTAAAAACTGACGCCCGTTTCGCCTTGCATGCTTGCTCGTGCAGTAAGAACAAGTATTCCATCGAATGACTGAACACAAGCTTACCTTTTGTCTTGTTGATGCCCATGAGAGCCTTTGCGAGATCAGCCACCGAAGTTGCATTCAGAATCGGGTCGAGGGTCTTTTCAGGACATTCCCAGCATGGAACAAGGATCGAATCAACTAGATCTCCGATTCTCCAAAGTTTCTGCTCTGTGGTGGCGCAACATCTCGCGGCGACTGAATTATCTCGCAACCCAAGGTACAACGATTTTCCTAATACAACGCCCCTGTAGAGCAGCGGCAAGCATTCTCCGTCGAACAAAAGGAATGCAGGATTCGCAACCAAGTATGTCAGAAAACGATCTGCCCTGACCGACAAAACCACTAAAAGTGTAAGAAGCAACGCGCGCGCATACTTCTGATCGAAAATATAAGTTGCTGATTCTGTGGTCATTGCCCTTGTAGCGTGTGGGATATACCAATTGCGCAACTTTTGGAAAAAAGGGTCAGCTAGCAGAATGTCATTGGAATCCCCATCCTTCCACACTGGATGCAAGCGCAACAAATCCATCACCTTGGATATACTGTTTCGGTCATCGTTGTTGTAGGGGTTGACAGCAGTAACAATGCGGAAATACAGCGGCAGTGTGAACGAAAATGTCGCCACTCCTGGCTTGTATGCAAAGCGATCGATAATCTTTCGCCCAGTGCACCTTTTGACGACATACACTGCCATGAGCGTGGCGAACACTCGGAGCGGTGACCATGTATCAAAATTGAGATGGCGAAGTAGCAATTGAAATCCCATCAGCCCTCTGGGCGTCGTTGGCAAAGGGCGTTTCCTCTTCCGCCCCTCCTTCTTCCCTTTCGGGGAGGGGCATCCGTCCCCCTACTCCTTCCCACTGACCTGAACAGGAGCGTTCGCGAGCGGTCAGAGTGTCCAAGATCGACCCCTGGGAGAGCTAAAATTCGACAGGCCTCACGAGGATCGCGGCCCCAAGGAAGGCGTTGCTAATTTAAGCCCCCCGTTCTGTGATCGATGTCCTCCAAGAGGGTTTCAACAGACGTCTTGGACTCTCCTCTTGGCCTGCGCGCGAGCGGGCGGAACGCCGGCCGCCTGCCCGCAAGGCCCAAGAGTCCGCCAAAACGTTCCAATATACCTCCAAGAAGCCACAAGGGAGGAGGAAGAAGCGGGAGAAGAGGAAGAGGAGGAGGAAGGGAAGGGAAGGAGGAGGAGGAAGAGGAGGAGGAGAAGAGGGAGGAGGAAAAGGAGGAGAGGGAGAAGGAGGAGGAGGAGAGGAAAAGGACGACAAGGCGGTGGAGTAGGAGGAAAAGGGGGAGGAGAACAGCTGCCGATCATCGGCGTTCTTCGTTCGAGCGCCTGGTGTTGGATGGGCTGGTGGGGTTGCGCGAAGCGTCAAGAATATGATATACACACCGTTCGCATCATTCAATACGCCATTGAACGTCATATTTAGCAGCCGCTTTGTAGCTACACCAACTGCGTCTGTTCGTTCGCTGGGGGTTCCATCCCGCAACAATTGAAGAAAGTCTTTCTTATGTTCTGGCATTGTTCTGAAGCTGCGCTCGGTACAACAGCAACGTGGGACAATATTACTAATGAGCCCAAGTTGCTCGGACGATACACGAATCGAAGATAACAAATAATCAGCTGCATCACTACGACTAGGAAAATAACATGTGTGACAAGGGATTTGGCAAACACGCTGAACAAGTACTCAAACGCCCACTGGGGCATCCAAGGAAGCTCAAACTTTGTTTACGAGAGTTCCAAGACGAAACTCGGAGCTCGAAGACGATCGGAGAAAGCGACAACAATACATCAAGATTAGCCCAAGGTAGCACGTGAAAATACACTGTCGCCGATGAGACTTTCAAGAGTATCCCAGTTAAATCGAAGACGCCGGTGACCCACAACCCTGGCAAAGTGTCGGCCGAGGCAAAATGCCACAAGCTCTCCTCCTCATTCTACTCGGTCGGGGCTCAATCAACCCAACTGGCGCTGCGGTGATGGTTGTGGTTCCGATCAGGTGCACCAGTTACTCAGAGAAGGCAACGTGAGATAACGGCGGTGAGACAATGATGCCCGAACTCGGTTCAAAATCGGTTCCCGGACCCCTCCCAGGGTTCAAACGCATCCGTTTTCCGAGCCACGTTCAGACGCGACGAGGGTCCTCGAAGGCCGAAAAAGCAACCCTCGTGTCACCCTGCCTCCTCTGAGTTATGCGGGTGAGTTCAATCCAACGCCGCTTCTCACCCTGGATCTGCACATTTCGAGGATTTCTCTGGGAACAGCTTTTCGTCCTGAATCGGTTTTTATGCTTCCGAGGCCTGGTGAAGGCCTCCAGTAGGAGGAGGAGGAGGAGGAGGAGGAGGAAGAGGAGGAGGAGGAAGAGGAGGAGGAGGAGGCAAGGCAAGCAATCCACGGAAGGAGGGTCCAGCGCACACTGCCGAGGGAGCGACGGACCCGTTTGGGCACGACGGCCCAAAGAGGCCCATAGTGGTGCAGGAGGAGGAGGAGGACGACGAGGAGGGCGAGGAGGAGGACGAAAGTAAAGAACCCAACTCTTGCCGCTCCAATTTGTTTGGAACGTCGGCTCTCTGGGGAGGCGGGTGGAATCAATCCAGCGCCGTTTCTCACCCTAGACCTGTTTACGAAGGTCCCTCTTCCATCCTCCTCCTCCTCCTCCTCCTCATCCTCTTCCTCCTCCTCCTCCTCCTCCTCCTCCTTCTCCTCCTCCTCCTCCTCCTCTTCCTCCTTCTCCTCCTCCTCCTTCTCCTCCTCCTGCTCCTCCTCCTCATGCTCCTGCTCCTCCTATTCGGCCCTCCTTCGCATCTTGTTTTTACATAGGATTCGGAAACAATCCCGGGAGATGTTTTTATCATATCTGCTTCTTCCATCTGAATGTGCTTGATTCTTCCAAAATTCGGTTCCCGGTGCAACGTTGGCCTTGTTTTCGGGCTTCCGCTTGGTCCGAATCCTTCCGCATATCGTGTTTTTACACATAAGATTGGAAAAGCATGCGGGAACGTTTTTTTCAATTGTGTTTTTCCCACTGGGGCATGCATTTTGGAAACATTGAAGGCCGTTTTGCGCCATTTTGTTTGCATTTTTGCAATTATCAGAAGCTGTTTGGGGCGTCTGCGAATGTGCCTTGGACCGCAGTTGGCCATCCAGGACCCGTGCGGAGGATGGGGCTGGAACCACATTTAGAATATTAGTCTAAATGTGGTTCCCGCCTCGGCCCCGGCGCCATTTTCCCCCCCTGACCCCCCCCTCCCCGGGGCCTCTTTAGGAGCTTTCTCAAGGATATCTTAACTGGTCCGGGGATGCTCACATACTTCAATCAGTCATTTTGCTGGCTCAAAATAATCAATGCTTCGATGGCCGCGTGCTGTTGCGTTTAACTGTATACGCAAAAGCGTTAAAACACTCGAGTGATCATAAATTTATGTTAGCTCACATCAAGCAGTGTTCCGATGATCGCAAACTGTGGCGTTCAACTGTATACGGCACAGCGTTAAAGCGCTCGACAGATTGGCTCCTGCATGAGCCAACAGCGACGCAGCAACATCTAGCGATTAAGCGATCACGTGAGGAGTGTCTCAGGCCTATCTGAGTGCGAAGGTCTGCACGCGCACTAGCATTGAACAAATCTGGCCGCTCGGCTCCTGCACGAGCCAACAGCTCGAATGATGATGAGACAAGAGATGCGCGGCCGACAGTTGTCATTTGAGCAGCAAAGACATTGCCTCCCAAGGGTCCATGCCTCTCGTCCAATATTCGTACTGTGCAGACTTGACTGCCACCGTAAAGGCGCGCGAGCCTGGTTTCATACATTGATTCTTGTGAATGCGAGACTTCAGGAATCTCCAGCAGCTATCAACTGTCTGAGTTCCAGACTTGCGCCAAAATCGTTTGCCATCGACGCTGTGCTGCACAGTGCCCACGTATTTAGGCTTCGTCCACGTGAACCGCTTAGTCTTGTTGTTAAAAACTCGTTTCTTCTGGTGTACGACTTGGTCCCGCACCGTTCCCGGAATATTGGTTTCACGGTATGCTCGTGCTGAATCTGTGTGTATAACGACACATCGGTTCTGCAAGTGCTTCTTTGCTATGCATTTCCACTGGTCCTTCGTGATCGGTCCTGGACCTGGCGATCTCGCCAGGGTGGGCGTGTTTTTCGAACGAATGAGCATGAGAGAACCTGGGTGACCACGGCGCAGAATACCGATCCAGTTCTCCCATGCGAGGCAGTGGTCAGACGCGCTGCGTGGAGGTCGGAGTAGCATCTTGCCGAAAGAGGCCTCGTCTACTTCGATGTCGTGCCACTTCGCTGCTGGCACTCTTTTGTCACTGCCAAAAGTCATGGTCTTCTCCTTCCGCTGCACGTACAACTTACGAGCATTCTGTAGTAACCCGTGCGTGTGTATGACAGACCTGCGCGCATGCCCCGTCAAATGGATGGTGCTAGTCACTGAGTTCGTCGTGGACAGGCACAGTAAGTTCGTGAGCTGCTGCTGGAGAGGAGCTGAACGTCGCCCATGGTGTAAAAGCGGACATTGCCCCCATGGGAACTCACGGTGCTGGCATTTATAAGACGAGCAGCGGTGGAACGGCTTACTCCCATCAGATCGAAATTGCTTGGCACCCAGATATCCATTCTTACACACTGGACAGCGTTCCCCATGCAAATCTTTCGCGAAATCAACCTTGAGCATGAAATTCCAAATCTCTGCTTCCGTCATGCGAGCCAGGTCAACCAAATTCTTACTGACTTTTCGATCGCGTGGATCTCCTTTGATCTCCGCGGCCGCGGACTGCGTGTAAGTGGCGCGCGCTCGAGCACTCTGCCGCGAGCGCGGTTGCGCCGCAGGCTTTTTGATGAGCTTCAAAGTCTTCATGACGCTGCGACCATTGCGAAGTCTACCGCGTTTCGGCACAAATTTGCCCATCTCAAAGAACGGGTATCTCTTCTTGAGCAAAAATACCTACGGATATCAACCCAGCAACGTCGATGCATGAGACTGGCCAACAAAAGTGCGACCCAAAGACACATGCAACGTGTATTTTCACATCCACTCCTTCACGCAATCCAAACGAGGCCGCAAGGGCGGGGCGCGCCCCCCGCGCGCTGCGCACGGGCGAAGGGGCCTGCACAGAAGAGCGCCCGCGCTGCAGCGGCCATGGCTGCGCCCAGAAGTGACGGATGAAACGCGGCGCGCCGCTGCCGCGACAATCGGACCCATGATGGATTGCACGTCGTCGCAGCGGAAAGCGCAGCGAAGTCTTCAAATGAAATGCGCCGCGCCCCGTTCAGCGGGCATTTCCCCTGCCAAAGACTGCACGCTCAATCAATTTTGGCCACTACCATGCGAACTGACTTTCAACAAAGAAGACGAAACAAGCCGCGCCGACCCTCCTCTGCCTCGGGCGCGTGCTCGGCGCCCTGCACGCGCGCCACGAGCCTGCGCAGCAACGGAAACTCACATCAGCACAGCATCGGCGCCCATTCTGCACTCGACGCCAAACTACCGCATCTGCGAAACGGGCAATCGCGCAAAAAAAATATCGCGGTCATGCGACGCAGCAGACCACCTGATACCAATCACAGATCCACGAGGGAGTGCCGTCGGGCAGCCGGTGCCAGGCGGAATGGCCCGCACGGACCTGCTCTCGCAAACCGTCGAAGAAATGCACGCGGCCCTTGGATACAATGCCACCCACAGCGTGCCCAGGACGATTGGGTGCGATGCTGTAAACGATGATGTAGCGTCCTGCCTGAGAACCTCTGGCCGATCTGGGATGCGAGCGGAGCAACGACAGACCGAACGGGTTGAGCAGGGATTTTGCCTCATCCAAAGTGTAGGGGCCGGCGTGATCGTAAGGCACGGGAACGCCGATGGCGTTCAGGGCATCCAGGATGCAGCAGTCTGGGTAGCGCCGCACGTTCTCGGGGCGGAACTGCATCGACACGATGCAGCCAAACGATCTGTCGTACAGGCGTGCTCCCCGCGGGTAGCGAGCAAGCGGCGCGGGCGGAGCGTCGCCCTCCTCTCCGCTGGACAATACGTCGATCACAGCGCCGCCAATGCTATCCACGGCGGGGGCCGCAGGGGGGCTGCTGAACTCTTCCTTTAGGCCATGCGGCGTCGCCCCCGCGCCCGACGCCGATCTGGCGCCGTTGGCGCTGGCCCGCGCAGCGCCCTCGGCGGCGCTGCCAAGGCCCCTCCTCGGCCTCGGGCCGCCAGGCGCGTCGGTCCGATCCAACTCCTCGCGCTCACGCTTCGCGGAGAGAGGGTATCGGAAAGCGCGGCGCGATCCGCCTGGCGGTGCCAGCGATCCCGCGGCTGGCAGGCGGAAGCGATACTGGCCGTCAGCATCCGCTCGCACGCGCACGCCGCCAGCGTCGGATGCCTGCGTACCAGCAGTCGCAGGGACATGGTGGATGGATGGCGCAGGTGGTGCGCCACTGGCTGACGATAGACGATCGGCCGTGCGGTTCGCCCACCACGAGGCGATCTCCTCTGCGGTCTTCTGCCGCACCGCCTCCTGCACCTCGCATACGAGACTGTATTCGTTTTCGACGTGCAGCGCATAATCTGGGTGCACGCAGTCCTCGTGATCCATGCCCTGGTAGAAGCCAGCGAGGGCGTCCTTGTGGTCTGGCAACAGAAAGTCAGAGGCCACGTTGCCCTGAGTGAACTTAAAGATCTGGGCGGCGTCATCGGAGCTAGGCGCTCGCACGTACAACGCGCGCCTGCCGACCACAACGAGCACGAACCGCTTAGTGAGGGCGAGCCTGTGCGACTGGCTGAGGTAGCCGAAAGGCTTCTCGAGCATCCTCATGAACAGCTGGGGGTCGATGGAGAATTCCGCCGAGTCTGGCGGCTCAGCATCTTCCGACCAGCAGTTGCTGAGAAGCGCGTGGAACTGGCCCTTGGCCCACTTAGGGGGAGTATACCGAGCGTCACAATGACCCGCTGTGTGGACTGTACCGAAGGCCTTGAGGTCCTCGATGTCAATGCGATCCAGAGAGGGGTCGTCGAGCAAGATGCCTTCATACACGGGCGTTGCCTTATCCCGAAAGACGTCCATCTGTTTGCCCCGCCGGAAGCCAGGCTTCTTGTCGATGCCTTTGCTCCGCGTCACGTACCGCCCCCACGCCATGGCTGCAATCTGGCACAAGGGAGTCTTCCCCACTCCGGGAGCGCCGAGCACCATGGTACCAGAGAGCGGGGCGAAAGCGTAGATCAACGGCAGCAGAAGCTCCTGGATGACAGGGTGCAGGTCGTACGACGTCAGCGGGAAGAATATGTCTACGTCGGCCGAAGCTGATGCCTTGTCCATGTTCACCAACGCCTTCTCGATCTGGCTGGTTGGCCACCCAAAGCAAGCGCTCGATCGGATTTTAGTCTGCAGAAGCACCCACTCCTGCGCTTCGATCGCGCTTGAACCAGCAATCTCGTGGTAGTGCTCGCGGATGTACGCGAAGCCGTCGCGGATCTCTTCTGGCGTGGGGTCCCAGCCCTTCCCCTGCTGATCTCTGGGCTCCTTGCGGGTCACACTGAAATGGCGCACTTGGAATCCTGGCAAGCGGTCGAGCATCGCATTGAAATTCTTCCGCTGGCCCCAAGTGTTGGAGTCCTCGGCCGCAGGGAACGTCGCCGACTGGCCCATGGTGTACAGGCGCGTGTCTGCGCGCTTTAGGCTGGTGCCGTGCTTGAAAATGAAGTGGCGCAACACGTTGTACCGCCCAACGCCAGCCCGCTGAACAACGAACTGCGCCTTCACGCTCGCAGGCGCTCCTGCTGGAATCTTCAGCACATCTGGCACGTTCTCCATTGCCTGCGCCCCTCTGCTCTCCACGGCCGCCTTGACCGTCTCCTCATCGATGTTGCCCGACCATGCCATCACCACGTCGATCAGGTTCAGCATGTGGGCGACTTGGTCGACTGGGCGGAAAAGGAAGTCTGGCATGTCGAGAGCGGCCTCCACGTCCTCAGGGTTCACCGTCCTGCCTTGGTCGGCTGAGCGACGGCCGACAGTATTGATCGCAAACGCCATCGCCTCCAGGCGATGTGACCGCGGGGGACGGATGATCAGATCGAGAGGGGGCCCAGGAGGAACGAATGCCAGATAGCGACGCTTAAAACACGATTGGGATCGCACTCCGAAGTGCCAGATCGACCATTTCCCGATCGGGGAAGATCCGATGCACGTTGCCAACTCAGGCGCGAACACTGGGCAGCCGTCAGGGTGACGAGACGAGACTCGCCATCATCTGGGCGGCGCAGTTCGGCGAGGCGTTCGTCCGCAGACAAAGGCATAGTAGCCGCGCGGGTCTTGTCTGTGACCGACTGTCCGCTTGAGCCCTGCATGACGAATGAAATCAACCAGAAACCGGAGACCATGCGCAGAGATTCTGGAGTGGCTGATCTACAGTCAACCGGAGACCGGAGACCAGAGATTCCTGAATACATATCTCTGGTCGACCAGAGACCGGAGACCAGAGATTCCTGGAGACTCATCTCCGGTCGACCGGAGACCGGAGACCGGAGATTCCTGGAGACTCATCTCCGGTCGACCGGAGACCGGAGACCGGAGATCTCCCAGGATTCATCTCCGGTCGACCAGAGATGAGTCTCCAGGAATCTCTGGTCTCCGGTCTCCGGTCGACCGGAGATGAGTCTCCAGGAATCTCTGGTCTCCGGTAGACAAAAGCATAGTAGCCGCGCAGGTCTCGTCTGTGACCGACTGTTCGCTTGAGCCCTGCATGACGAATGAAGTCGACCAGAGACCGGAGATCAGAGATTATGGAGCGGCTGATCTCCAGTCAACAGGAGACCAGAGATTCCTGAAGACTTTTCTCTGGTCGACCGGAGACCGGAGACCAGAGATTCCTGGAGACTCATCTCCGGTCGACCGGAGACCAGAGACCAGAGATCTCCCAGGACTCATCTCCGGTCGACCGGAGATGAGTCTCTAGGAATCTCCAGTCTCCGGTCTCCGGTCGACCAGAGATGAGTCTCCAGGAATCTCTGGTCTCCGGTCTCCGGTCGACCGGAGATGAGTCCTGGGAGATCTCTGGTCTCCGGTCTCCGGTCGACCGGAGATGAGTCCCAGGAATCTCTGGTCTCCGGTCTCCGGTCGACCGGAGATGAGTCTTCCCGAATCTCTGGTCTCTGGTCTCCGGTCGGCCAAAGATAAAAATGATGACATGCTATACGCAAAGCGTTATGGAGCTGTGCTTGTGCGAATGTAATCACATAGTGTTCCACAAAACGCCCAAGATGCTACATACCTCTTCAGATGTAACGGGACCTCGGGATGTCGACGTTCGGCGGCCTCATATCGGTATCGCCCGATAGGGTGCCGCCGTCCATATGTATATACCGACGCTTTTTCCGGCCCTGCACTGAAACTCGCACAGGGAAGCGGATCCTGGTGTATACGGGACCATGGTGTATACATTGCTCGTTGCTTCCCCGGGAAAGCGGGGAAACCAATCTACACCACACCACCCCGACGTCGTCCCTGACCCTCAGAAAATCCAGGGATTGAAAAACAGCACGCCGCTGGTAATGTATACGTACGCTCCAGTTTCCGATATGCATTTCGGCGACTCCAAAGGGTGTGGTTTGCAGAGGGTGTGGTTTGCAATCGGCACCCTGGGGGGGCACCATGGGGGGCGGTCGGGTGCCTCGATGGAGCTCTCCGCCGCGCCCCGAGGAGGCCCGACGAGGACAGTGTCGTGCCCTCCAGGCCCCCACGGCGCCGATCGCAAACCACACCCTGGCATAACCGCACCCTTTGTAGTCGCCGAGTATTGCCCCCCTGAGCTATTCACCCCGGTCGTCGCCTCTGAGGCAGGGCGGCGCTCCACGCGTGGGCTGGCGCCCGGGGGTTGCCGGTGCAGGCCGCGCCCGCAGGGCCCGGGCCAGGGGGCACGTCTGCCGCTCGGGAGGGGAGGGGC